TCTTTCTAATTCTGAATGATTTTATTATGTGAAGTCGCGCATCAATAAAGTGATAAGCATTAGCACATGAACATCCGTAGCACTTATTTGAGCAAGCTTAACAACACTGGATTCAACAAACAAAATAATAAATATAATGAGTTAATAACATTATCCATAAATTTTAGTAAGGTATGCTTACCAAGGGTATCATACAGAGGAACGCAAATAAAGCTGTGGGCGTTGCAGGCCTGGAAAAAGTTAAATAAATAAATTGGTTTTATTATGTTCATAAATAAGTTAATGTTAATACTTCTAGTACTACAACACAAAGAAGGAGATGAGGTTTTTTCACCTCTTTTATAGGGACCAAAAAAAGAAGGAAAAAAAAGAAAAGAATAGGAATGCACAACAAAACATAGTGAAAAACCCCTCTGAACTGACCTCCATTGCAACAATCCACTGAGGACAATTTGATCCATAAATTCCAACTCGAGCACCCTATAAGACAAGCTATCAGAAACCAATCTCAACTATATTTGATGTCATTGTGAACTTGTTCTTGCACTATGAAGCTTATGAACAACCATTAATACTAATATATATATATATAGAATAACATTTCCGTACAGGTTCAAAACCATGTTCCCGCAAGGCGGAACCAGCTTGTAGAGTCTCTTGGTACACTTCCTTGTAAGTTTTCCAAACATAAGGTCCCCACTAAAAAAAGGTAGTAAAGAAGTAGGAAGAAATAATGATCAGAAAGTTGAAATTTAGCTGTAGTAACATGCAAAAACACCAAATATACAGAAAATAAGATAGCAATAGCAGGATCAAACGAATCCTTTACTTTATACCTTTCCATTGACAAACTCACGCCATCCGAGCATCCTGTTTTCAGAATGTTTTTCTACTGATTCTCTGCCCCCAAGAAAAAGTTGACGTTTCAGTAAAGCAAACAAATTCTAACATGATAATCATAAACTATGCAGATAAATGGATAGCTAACTGATGAATATTTAAGGATCAAAACTTTACTCTAAAAAAAAAATCTGTCATTATATAAATGTGATATAACCTGAAAATATCCCAACAAGTGGATATATTAGGATCAACAGGAGGATAAGCATGTTCCGCCAGTAGATTACGATAAACGGGACCAACCGAAGGTTGCCCATCTCGACCTTTTTTTCCTTCTTCTACCTTAACAGCAAATTTCTCCATTTTTCTGCAGAAAAGAAAAGGCAAAAGAAGACTGCCTCTCAGCAAAATGAGAGTTTGAATAAGTCTATATTATAGCTAGAAAATCTTGTGCTACAAGTGAACTATCAAGCAAATCTCAAGAATTCGTTGAGCTGGAAACCAAGATACAGAGCCCACCACCTTAAATGCGAGTGGGACTATGAGATATATGCCGTGCTTACAATGTTCATAGAATACTATTCCATTAACGAGTCTGGAAAATGAAAATGAAACAGTGACGGCCAACCCAGAAAGGGTCCAATCCAAAGCTTTTTAAATTAGACAGCGTTGAAGTTTTCAAGTCAAACTGTTTGATGGTATGTCAAAATGAAAGTTTGATGATGAGATCAAAGAAAGAAAAGGGGCAAAGGTCAATTTTGACAATCGACGCTGACTTACATGCAGAAACAGATGAATTTAGAGTGAAGTAGTAGGTAATCAACCAAAGACAAAACAATATGAACAAAAACGAAAACAAAAGACTGAAGAAATTTTCGTACGGAAAAGGAAAGCCCGGAAGGGGAAAAGTGAATTTCAGACCTGAAACAACCGGAAAAATCCAATCTTGCCCGTGGGCAGTAAAAAGGGGTTGCTATGTTGTTAAAGAAGAAGAAAGTGGTGGGCAAAGAGAAAAATGGGGGTGGGTGGGTTTTGCTGCACTGCATAGAGGCAGTGAATAGCAGCAAAAATACATACATGGCTGCTGGCTGTGGTGGAAAAATAAAGATGATAGAATTCATTTGCTCCAGATTCGTTTCCCAGGGCTTGATAGGGTATCCTCGTAGGTATTGGAAAAAGAGAGAACGAAGCCGAATATCCAGGATTCAGAGGACGGCACTTAGGATCGATGCAATTGACCTTCCCTTTGACTTCGCTTCGCTTTGCTTCGTTTGTACTGTAGCCTTCTCCCAGCTAAAGCTTATCTCGCTTCTTTTTCAAACCTTTCAGTCGAGCCTCAACTTTGTCGACCCTTGTTTGTAACTCCAGAACAGATTCTTTCCTCCAGGTGTTGGAGTGCCCTTTCGAAATAGGGGCTAGCCGTTCTTTGCTCACATAAGCTTTGATGAACCCGCAAGAATCTCCAACTATCCAATTTTTCGTCACATAACGCGCCATTGCAGTTTGGTGAGGGTAGTTGGATTAGCTTTCCACGAACGAACTCTTCTTTAAATGCAGAGGTGTTCGTGAGACCTTATAGAGACGACGACACATGTTTTTACTTTTTAGATCATCAGTTAAAAAAAAATATAAAAAAAATAAAAATAAAATAAAAAAAAAATAAAAAAATAAAATAAATAAAATATATATATATATATATATA